ACGGTATTACGGTGCGCTCCTCTCTCCTGCGACCAGACTCAACAACACTCTGACCTGAAGCCTGGGGGTCCCTTTGCTGAACATCTCTCTGTGATCCACTTGCTTCCCCTCCCGTCTCCATAATCACCTCCCGTATGATAGCTTTGAACTCATCTCGATTCTCTAGCAAGCCTTGCCGAAAGAAATCCTTTGCTGATTGTCCACACTCATTTGGTATGAAACCAACTTGTCGCCTCTCCGAACTTGAAACTCCTTCTGCCAATGCCTGGTTGCCCCGGCTAGATTGCTTGAACTCCAGAACTTCTCTTTGTATTTTTTCTAGGGACGCCACAACCTTGTCATTGTGGACATATTGATGAACGTGTGGAGGAATGCCTGTCGCTTCCATTCTGCCTCTTGCTTCCTTTGGCATGCAGCAAACAACCTTTGATTTCAAAGTATTCAGCATAGCTTCGTCCTGAAACAAGGTTGACTTCCAAAGAGGATGATTCCTCTGCAAATTCGTTCTGAGGAAGTCTGCATGGTATAACACGGATGCGAGTGCAAACTCCGCAACTCCATACATGCACATGGGTAATGTTGGGAACAGCATCTGAATCGCACTTGTGACCATCCCTGACGAGTCAGCTTCTTTGAAATGCGGCGGAAGAATTGCAAACTCTGATGAGTCGATGGGAAGCCCTGTTATAGTACGTCCAACAAATGCATCACCTGCTGCTTCATATCGTAGATACGTGTTGAAAACTGCTCCATTGGACCATCCCGCTCGCTCCGACACGGCACTGCTCGATGGACAGTGAGTACTCCCGGATGAACAATAAGTTGCTGCCCCCTTCCTAATAGAGTGACTTCCAAGATCCTCTGGTTGTAAACCGAGTGAACGCAGATGGGCAGTAACTGCAGTCTGAACTGCATCCATACCATTATGATCATCATGCCTTTCCGCGGTCTCGTCAGTGTCAGAGGGACTCGGGGCTGCTGACTCCGATTGATTCGGTGGCATCATTATTTTTGAAAGAACCTGCATGAAACGCTTGTATTGTGATCTGCCTGGAAACAGGGACAGTTCATCTGGTAAATAGCAAAGCAAATAGATTCCTAATGCCAATATGGGACAGATCTCAGGATAAACTGGATTTGCATAGACTCTCCTGGGGTCTCTAGGCTTGTCACCGCTCTGATCTGTTTTCGAGTGAGCAAAGAAAATTTGGAGATGATCTTCATTCCAGCACATGTGGTTGAACTGAATAGATTCGGCGTTTCCAGCGCGACACATAAGATTCCAACAAATGATGAGAAAGGTGCGAGCGAAAATGTAATTTCTCTTGTCGGAAAACATCATGGTTTTGCAAAACAAACGATAGGTTGTCATGCTCATAGGTTCTTTGCCTGTTGTTATCTTCAGTACACCCGTTGCATCCATCTGATTCAGATCTTTCTTGAGGCCAACATAGAATTCTTGAAGAGCATTCTTGAATTCCACCGGTAGGTCTTTCTGAAAATCTCTGAAAAAGCTGTTTATTGCCGATCGATGATTACTGTAAGTTGCAAAACCATTGTTCGGTGAAACGCTGAGCAGATGCGTGATCCACATACAGAAATAGTCTGCGTCTAATTGATCGAAATGAATCGGGTAAACTCTTGGGGCATTCCCTGTTTCAATGCTTCAGAGAAAAAAATGCCATAAATGGCAACTTCTAACCTGTCCAAGATACAGAATTCTCGTCCAGTACCGTTCGTATGATCCTCTTCGATGGTAATGGTGGATCTCCTTCTTCCATATCTCTTTCAATCAAATCTTTGAATTCCATTGTCAACAGAAAAGGATTGTTTCGATACACGAACTGTATAAAACGGACAACGCTAGATGTATATGCAGCTCTTGAATTTTGCGAAACCCTTTTCGATCGGATTTCTGAGATTCTTTGTCGCCCACGAGCTGCATCCAATGGTTGTCGGGCCTCGTTACCTGTTCTCTGACGTTTTCTTCGGCCCCCGATTTGAGGCCTCGGTGTGGCCTCTCCTGGAATTACAACTGCTTCCTGGACCTGCATGTCCTCCAAAGGATCGCCTTCATCTTCGTTGACATTCGGAGACTCTACTTGGCTTACCTCCTCCATTTCATCTTCAACTTGTCTCTCAGCCTGTGCTTCCATCCCACAAAGAAATGTGCGCTCTGACTCCTACCAGAATCCTCCCCGTGTTGAAATGAACCCGTTTGCACGAGCAGACAGAGTACCCTGGGTACCCTAGTTAACTCCTTCCAAATTACCCCTCCTGAGTTTGGTTTCAGCATAATGACCTTAGTAGAGAAATGAGAGTTTAATATTTGAATATTTAGTTGAAAAGTTTCAAAAAACACTCCCAAACAACAAGAACTTCAACCTAAAGACATGTCCTAATCCTAAACTGTAGGATTCAAGCTAAAGCTCTAGTAGGCCTGATTAGGCCCGCCTCAGAACAATCCGACTCGTCCCGAGGCGGGCCCGTGTAAAGCGGTAGGATATTTTCCTTCTTGGAATCCTCCCAAAGTACTATAAGTAGAGATTATGTTTGCTCTGGCCCACTCCGTGGGTACGCTCGTTTGTTTTTTGTTATTTTGTGTAATAATTGGCACGAATGCGCAGCTATTATTTCAATTGATAAAATATGATAGGGATTTGGTAAGGAAAAAAAAGAGCAATGAACAGATTTTTTGATTGAATATAAAAATCATTGAAATTATAAATCGAATTATAAAACAGATAAAAATTATGATTTATTCGCAAAAAGTTGTCTCCTCACGTTTCCATATAATATAAGTGCAGCTAAGTGTTTATCATTCTGAGGCAGACTTGCAAGGATGAATGGTCATCGAACCCCCCTTTGCCCCCGGGGGGTGGTCCATTTATGTGGTGAACAATAAAAATGACAGAAAACCTCCAGAGTTGAAAGAAAGTATATATCGTGCCGGAAGAAGTCTTGGAAAGCTAATTTGTCAGGGTCAAGCCTCCTCTATTCTCCTTATTGTCCTCGTACTGATTTTAACTTAACTTTGAGTAAAGGAGTTTAGGACAGAACACCACCTTTTTTTGTATTTGCGCTATTTTGGGATCCCCTCCAAAAAAAGGGGGAGGAAATTCAACTTTTTCCCCAAAACTTGTCCGAATATATTTCAAAAGTCAGGGCAGAGTTTTCAATGTTTTTCAGGAGTCTTGCACAAAAATTAATAATTTTTTTTAAAAAAGATGTATTTTTCCTCCTTGTTTGCTCCGGTTTGCCTTTCCCTGGGTGCAGCATGCAGCCAGAACACGTTGCGTCGAACAAGCGCAAGAGACGGCGAGAGACGGGGGAGGAGCGAGCGAAGGTTGAGGTTGAGGAGGAGGCCCCACAAGCAAGTGGTCAACGGGAGGCCCACCAAGACCATTTTGTAGAGTTGGATCAGCTACACAATCATAGGAGGAGGAACCAGCTTCGCGAGAAGCAGAAGCAGCTTCCCAAGAGGAACAAGGATCCGCATCGCAAGGAGGAGGAGGACGAGAGGGAGCAGCAGCGCAAGAAGGAGGAGGAGCAGCGCAAGGAGAAGGAGGAGCTTCGCAAGAAGGTGGAGCAGCTTCGCAAGAAGGAGCAGCTTCGCAAGAAGAGGGAGAAGCTTCGCAAGGAGAAGGAGGAGCAGCTTCGCAAGAAGGTGGAGCAGCTTCGCAAGAAGGTGGAGCAGCTTCGCAAGGAGAAGAATGAGCAGCTTCGCAAGAAGGAGGAGGAGCTTCGCAGCAAGGAGAAGGAGCATCTTCGCAAGGAGAAGCTTCGCAAGAAGGTGGAGAAGCTTCGCAGGGAGAACCTGGTTTTGAGGCAGATTCCGTCATCTGTAGAGCGAGGGATAGCTTGGGAGGAGTCAGAGGCAGGGCTTGATCGCATGGGCTTTTGCGAGCAGAGAAAGTTCTTCCGCCTCGATAGCTCGTACTTATCGATGGATGCAAGCGATGTCAGCAACCAGGAGCTCTTTCTCTACTGCCGAGAAGCCTTCACGAAGCAGCAGAGCTTCCTGAGAGAGCGAGTGCTGGAGCAAGGCGCTCTGGGCTGGATCCAAGGGCCGCCAGGAACAGGGAAGACGACTACGACGCTAGCGTTCTGCCTGTCGCTGGACATGAAAGAGTGGATGGTGACTTTTCTCAGGCTGAAGCCTGTACACATCTACTGCATGCAAGTGGTGAACGGGAGGCGAAGATTTTGCAAGATCTTGTATAGCTCTGCAGCAGAGGGGTTACGGGAGGCCTTTGCAGGGCGCGAGGGCAAGAAGCATGTGGTAGTGCTAGATGGTTTCCTGAGACAGCAAGAAACTCATCAAGGCGTGTATCGGGAGTGTCTGGTATGGCGTGATGCAGACCAGCAACATCGACGACTGGCTGTTGTAACATCGATGTCATCTCGGGGGAAGGTGTACACAGAGTGGGATCAAGAAATGAAGCTTGAGACGCATAAGGTTGTTTCCTGGACGCTCGATGAGTACCTGCAGGCGGTGCAGCACGACGAGCTGTATGAGCAAGTGAAGCCCTTCTTGGAGATGGATGTGGAGGTAGAATGGATGCTAATCACGACATGCGATGGGCAAGAGACGAGAGAGGAGCGGGTCGTAAGGAAGTACTATCTCGCCGGGGGCTCATGTCGGTTCATGTTCCAGAGAATGGTCCTGACAGCTTTCAGTTTCGATACATTTAATGACG